CGTAATCGTCTAATGTTTTTAGTACTTTTGTTTTAACTGTCAATGAGTGGTCCTAAATGAAAAATTACAGACAACGACACAACCGAGGATGAAATTAAATACTGGTTACTGGAATGTACAGACTGTAGATTTTTACATTTGGCAAGAGTTCATACTGTTCTTTCAAAACGTTGTCGAAACAAACTCCTCTAGCGAGCCTGGGAATGTCCTTGGTAGGTTCTTAAAGGGCTAGGCCTCGCGTTCTTAGAAAAAAAAAAGCCACAAATAAGGAGTCAATCGTTTCTTGTCATTTGCATGAAGTCAACTACAATGTAGGTTACGCCTTTTCTCAACCTATCAAAACGTTCTTATGGGTATCTTTTACTTTAAAAAAGTCAAAGTCTTAAAAAAAATCAAACACTCCCCTCGAGGTCTCGCCGTTCGCCATTTGCCTCCTTTTGATAAGTTACCTATTAGTTGAGCATAATAGAGTTGCGTGACAACAATGGGATGAAACGGAACACGTCACTTTCCGTTTCAGTCAGAAACTGAAAAGTCAAATTGTTTCTCTTTTGCACCGCTTTTAACACTGTGGAGATGCTGTGGTTGCAAGCTATAGGTCTAATAACCATTGTTTATAGCTTAAAATCTTCAGGTAAGTTTTTAGCAAGCTTAAATTTATGTGATGTCGACCTTGAAGGGCATATAAAGGAGATATCGCGGAGTGTCATATTTGATTTGACTTATGTACCTTAGGTTCAAGCCGGAACAGGTCCTGTTCTATGTTCTAGAATGGTATACTGGATATTCGAATAGCTAAAATACAACGTTTTTTAGAGGACGAAAAATTCGGTCAATTGGAAAAAATGAAATGCACGGGGCCTAGGGGAAGAATTGATTGTAAGAATGATAGTTCCTGGGTTAGATGTTGAAAGTCATAGACAATGTTAAGCATAACTGCATGCATATGATGGTATATAGGAAGTGGAAGGAGAGGAATATAAGAATTTGGGATTTAAAACGAAATTTTCAAAGTCTGCTCCACATTGTTTCATGAGATGACTGCTGTGAAGTGTAATCCTGACTGGTAAGTATTAAGACCTTTAATATCCAGTGGATCTACCGGGTGGATCTACTTTTACTGATTGTACAGATTTTGAACGGTGTGTACAGTAGCTGTTCTGCAAGTGATACAACATATCATTCGGCCGCTTTTCTTCTTAGAAGGAATTCACAGTTCTCTTTTCAACGTTTAAAAGGTTCATCCTACTGGTTTCCTGTTGTGGCAAAACCGTTGCGTGACGGTTGAGGTCGCTCTATATTTGGAATATAGAACGGAACGCGGAATGTTTTTGAACGCGAAATGCTGAACTTCAATGCATTATTAACGGACAATCGGTCCTAAATCATAGTTTCGCTCCTTTTACCTAATCGCATCTTTTTGGTACGCTGCGGCGGCATATAAGGTGAGTTTGGTCGAGCCATGTTCCGTATTTTGGCCAGACATGGTCGAGCCAAATACCCGATATGCCACCGATGAGGACCAAAAAAGGTACGATTAAATTTACTGTTCCTAAATTCGGCCAAAATTCCGGAGACATTCTTCTACTTACGGTTAACAGACTCTAACCAGTTATGTGGCGCGAGCGATGAAGAGATTGGTACGACTCAACAACTATTGAAGGAAATAATTTTTGAACAGTTTATAACGGCTTCAGTGATAAATGTGGTGGCAAAAGTTGTGTAAAACTCTCCTGTACAAAACTGTTCTCAATAAATTACAGTGTGGTTCGAAAAAATTATTGGCTCGAAGAACGGGCACATTTTGACCCAACAACAGCTCGGTTTTTTATAAAACTGCGTGCTTAATTCACTCACGGAAAAATAACTTAACTTGAAAGTGACAAGTTATCGCAGCCATATCAGCTTAGTGACTTGATATCGCAGAATATCAGGACAGTAGACACGGCTTCTGGTTGGCTAATTGCGAGTTTGGTACGGTAAATTATTTGAGTCATCTGGTTATTATTGGCTTATGGACTCCGTTCTAGGTCGGAAATCAGTCCTAAATCGTGCCATATAATCGAAATAAGTTGATTTAATTTTTATAGACTCTGTTCGTTGGCCAGCTGGAACATACGGCTTACCCAAACCTGTATCCGGGTGTCCTATGACTGATGGCTTTCAATGGGAGGAAGGATGGAGATCTCAGGATTCACATGGTACACATTCAAATAACGCAAAATCCACTGAATTTCATCTTGATGGAAAAGTTGATTACGAGAAAGTCAACAGATCGTTCTGTATTAGAAGTACAGCTGACAAGAATAACAGGCCCAAATGGCCACCAGGTTGGTAAAAGATCTTTAGATCTGTTTGTTTTAGAAAGGGAAATAAGCGTTTTATGATAGAGCGGTTTTCAATTGAGTGTCGTAAAACCACAATTAAAGTAATCACTGTAGCCATTTACAAAAGATGATAAGAATCCATTGAACCAATTAAAACTCAAAGTAATTACACGTAGATGAAGCAGAGCGCGGGAAAACGTGTGCGTACGAGTTACGATTGGTTTTGGTTTTTACTTCTGATTGGATGAAAAAGTAGCGGGAATTTTTTAAGCCAATCGCGTAGCGTAGTTGATACAAAACAAATTACTCAAATGAAAACCGCTCTAGTCTTTTTAGTGATAAATGCAAGATTGTTAAAGCTGTTAAACACTGAGGGAAGCAACAGTAAAATCGACAAACAACTACATAAATTTTGTATCTTCTGATTCAAGGGTAACACCTTTAATTAGTAAGCTATGCTAATTAACAATTAGACCCGTAGCCCTTGTGGGCTACGGGTGGCCGTTGAGGGTGGCCCTTGAGGGCGAAGGGTCTAATTGTTTTAGTATCACCCAACTAGTCGGACAGAAAAGGCAATAATAAAGTTAGCAAATGCAAGTTGAAGAAATATTTATCTGGGAATAAAACGAAAGAAAGCGTCACGTTCGATTGCGCCAATTTCGCTACTCGAGGACTATTACTAATTGTCCACTAGTAGCGTAGCCAATTAAAATGCAGGATTTGCATTAGTCCACTAGTTGGGCGATACTAATATTTTTTAGCAGCCGTAGTACTATAAATAGTGTTGATATTCTATCATATGTAGCTGCAGCTTGTAAGTAGTGTCCATATTGTATTGAACGTAACTGTAGCATTGTTAGTAGTGCAAGTGGCCGCAGTATCAGGCAAAATAAAAACAATAAATAAAAAAAAAGTAGAGCAAAATCAAAACAAAAAGTAGCGATCTAACCATCGATAAACATTCAATACTCTCTGCAGGTCAGTACTGCATATATAAAAAGGGAGCATGCCCAAAAGATTTGACAGGAGGAGGTGTCTACTGGGATGACGACGACTCAAAAAATGCAAACAGTAAAGGCGGGGTTCTCCCTGGTGGTGAATACAACATAGACACAAAGATCAATTTTTGCTGTAAAACAGACGGAAACAAAGCCAGTGCTGTACTCCTTCCTTCCCAATCTCCATTTTATCTGTTGGCTTACAAGTCAGCGAAATGCCAGATGGTCATGTGGACGGCAGCAAATCTGGAGTGGATATATTATGACACAGAACACTCGAACAACAACGACAGAGTCTTCAAAGCCTACCCCCACGAGGCTGAAAAACGACACCCCACGATTTACTACTGTTACTACCGCGGTAAGAGAACACATTTACTTCAACTGGTTACATCGTTTATTCCTTCGATTAGGTAACTGATGTTGAGTAATGAGAGAGAATAATGTTTCCATGCAGGTTATTGCTGTTTATTTTTGTCTAGTTTTGCTTTTAGATACGCTAGTTGACAAGATTTGCTCCAGTCTGTCACTGAGAGAGTTCCTCAAAATATTCAATTCTGGGTAGGAGGCAATCATACATTAAATCAACTTTAGTCATTTCACTTGCCACTTTATCTCAATTTTGTGCAGGGTGTGAAGTAACCCTTACCGCAGTCAGCGGCACTTTCCAGTCACCAAACAACTCAGATGCACAGTACTGCTCCTGGACGATCACGGTTAACAAAGTCCAACAAATCCACTTGACGTTTAAGTACTTTAGTGAACAGAACGAAAACGGGTTCGATGAGCTACAAGTGTATGATGGAGAGAACGCAACAGGGGTGATCTTGGGAGTGTTTAACGGCAGTCATCCTCCCCCTAAAGATGGAATTTACTCCTCGTCAAATCGAATTTTTGTTATTTTTAAATCAGATAAGAATAGCTCTTACACTGGTTTTAAAGCTGCATATTATGGTTCTAATTTCTCGGGTAAGTCTTGTTTAATAACTTTTGTGGTCTTGCATAAGTAGAAACGCTGCATACAGTCCGGGTGATATTGTTTTTTCAAAGTTTCTTGTCAGATTCTAATAAAATCATGAGTATAACTTAGTAAACATGTATTGCCCTTTTTTTTTTTTCTCCTACTATAGCGCCCTACGTTACGACAACACAAAGCCCGGAGATGACAACATCACCTTCAGGTACTCCTAAAACAATTCCTACGGTGAAAGAAACGACATCTATTAGAGAGCCAAGACCAACAAGGGAAGGTGGAAGAAAACATCAAAGTGGACAAACTGGGGAAAAAGGTTTCGTACAAAAATAGGGAGCTTAAGCTCCGTTGATGGCAACGCCGAGGACGACGCCTGTTCAAAAATGAATTTATAGTTTACCAGCGCAATTCGCAACTATCTAGAATTGTTCAGTACACCTATGGCTCTACAAACGTGCTCAGGCTAAATATGCAATGTCAGCGTTCAATTGCAAATGGAAATACGAAAAATTAGCCGTTGTCGCTCGCGTTCCTTGGACTACGCATAACTTGGTTATTTCACGTTCCCGTTTTGCGGAGGACGGCAAAGAAATGTACAAAGATTTACAACGCACGTGCGCAGCGCCATTGTTTTGCTCATTACACCTTTTGTTTGGTTACGTTCTCGTTGCCGTCGTCGTCGTGGTTTGCTTAAGTTCCGTAATATTACTTTTACAGCCTTATGAACTATGCAATAACTGAAGATATTGGTCAAATACAATTCATTGCTAGACAGTCAAACCACAATCTGTCGATCTAACAATTGCTTTTCAATCCGGGTAAACCTGACGTTTCCATTTATATGAAGCTGAACTTCTTTTAGACTAATTATTACTCTTGTCAGTTAGTATATATTACTGGTATCACGCTATTTGTCAAGCCAAGTATCACGTCACGTTCCCTGCATAATGTCGAGCCTGGTGAACAATTCTTTTAAATTTACTCTCTTGCAGGTTTTAATGTCGTAGCTGTTGTCGTCCCCATAGTATCCATTTTCATTTTAACTGTCCTACTTGTAACTGGATTTTTCTGCTGGAGAAGGTATAAAGAGGATGTATGATATACAGATGCTTCAGAACAGTCAATTTTTGAAGATAAGCAAATGACTGGCGTTTTTAACTGGCGCCAATCTTACATATCATAAGGACGTTCCAGGAATGCTCGTGTATGGTCGTTACGTCCTATTATAGGGTGCTTTTTTTGGGGGGTGATCTGGATCAGGATCAGTGGCCCAAGATCACTCGGATCATGTTGCATCAAAGGAACCGATGAATCCACTCTGGTCACGCATTCATCAGTTCCTTTGATAAACCATGATCCGGGTGATCTTGGATCACTGATCCTGATCAAGATCACCCCAAAGGAACACACCCATAGCATAATAGACAAATCGGGATACGATCTTATCGGCTACGTAATAGGCGACCATGGCTTATCATAACGTTTTATCGGGAAAATCCATCTTAGGATATCTATGTACTTTAAAAATATAGTGCAGGTCTCCACCTTAGTTTTTGGAAATTTTTTTTTCAATATTATGTCTGTTTTCTCTGTTGGACTCAAAAAGTGTAAATTGAGCTTATCGATTAAATAATCTTGAGTGACTGCTTGACACCCTTTTAATATCATTTGTTTGACTGTTTTTTTCTCCTGCCAGGAGGACGATGAAAATTGAAACAAATACTGTACTTTTTTCAGCAAGGTACTTAAAAACGTAGTTGCTTTTAGAATCCTGTCTTAAGGGATACAAGACCAAAAATAGTTGATGAACTTGAACTAACAATAATTATAATGCATGATACGCGACAGCCTTTGCTGAAAACTATATCTTTTAAGCGAATAAAAAATAAACCGTAGCTAAATACGAATAACACTAGCACTTTTATGTGAAGTATCAAAATGTGCTGTTAACTTTATCCTAGTTCAGTGCATATTCATTTTTCATGGAAAACTTTGTACCTTAGGGCCTCGAATTGGCTCGAAAGTGTAGAAAAAAATAGCTGCTTTGTGCTCGACGAAGCTTTTCCGTATACTAAACGTCAAAGTTAACAGTGTCAGGATTTGATGTTATAGGTACAAGAAGTTTTTTGGGCCGGTCAAGAGTTTTGATACAATCTGTCCAAAATTCCCTTTGAACGGTGAAATCATTTTTCCATGAATTGTAAAACAACTCTTAACAAAAATAAGTTTGACCCAATTGATTTTTGACATTACACAACAATATCTCTTTGTCCTCCAGTCTTCTATTGTGTAAAAAAAGTAGACAACTAATTTTCTTTTTATTGATAAATTGCTTCACTCACTGGATTTTTAGGTAAAGGAATAGAGATCGTTCACATAACTCTACTCCACATGCTAATGACCTATGGCAGCAGGAAGAATGTACTAAATATGTCAATTTGACAAAAATGCACGTAATGTACCCATGTTGCTGCGAATTCTAATTGATGGTTCATTTCAGCCCGTGGTTGTAGAGTTACAAGTCGTAATTTTCAGTGATTAAACTGATTAGATGACATCTAAACATGAGAGTCAACAAAAATCAAGTTTTAGGCTTAAATTCGTATATAACGCCTGTCGTAATAAAGAGTTGTACAAATTTATAAAGAGATGTAACATAACACGCGAACATGACTATCGTTTATGTTTCTATTTGGAATTCGCAGCAATATTTGACCAGCTAATCTAAGGTATTTCACGTGCGTTTTTGCCAACTTTGCATATTTAGTAGGTGTTTTCCTACTATAGTAGTAATTAGCATACAAAGTACAGTTATGCGAAAGATTTCTAATAACATGTCGCCGTCCTGTGACACTTATTCTATTATTTTGTTGTTGATTTTTTTTAGGTCAAGCGATCAGCGCCCAGTCTCAGTTGAAAATCCTTACTACGGCCGGTGAGAATCACGATATAAATAGTCAACTAGTTAACTTACCGTCCTACATAAGCTAACGGTCAACTCTAGCCTACCTCAGTCTTCTGATTGACAGGCCGTATAGTGTGTAATTCTATGAAGACATGATTGAACATCGCAGTTATACACACAACTTAAGCAGTTATAAAATTACATGTAAAGCCCGAAAAGAAATTCAGGTTTGAACGGGATTCGAACCCATGACCTCTTCGACACCGGTGCAGTGCTCTACAAACTGAGCTATCAAACCAACTGGAAGCTGGTCATGTTGTGAGTCGTAATATACCTGTAGATGGTGAAGATACAAGTGAGTACATGAAAGATCATATTTTTGAGCTGCGGAGTTCAAATATTTGATCTTTCAAAGATTCACTTGTAGGGTGTAATGCTTTTGTACATTTTATCTCGCCATGCATACCTTGTGCAGTAAGTTGTGTATTTTTTTTGTTTTATCTGTACAGTGATGTCATAATTGCAAACACAAACGAGCTGTACACTGAGCCTGTTATTGGACACGCAAGAAAGAATGAAGCGCAACATTACAAGGATCTAGTCAAAAAAGATCAAGATTCACTCTACGATACTGCGGCCGATGGTGTTGCGTTGAACCCCGTCTATGACAGGTTTAATTTTTTGAAACAAAACCTATTCAAAAAATGATACATAGTTAAATAATAGATTATGATTGCTTTGTCTTTGGCTCTAGTTGTCAATATAATGTTCATAAAAACTGTTACATGTAAAAATTTGTTGCGAATTTTTTGTCTTCCCCCGCGCAAGCATGCTCTAATACTGTCACATTAACGCGGTATTTTCTAACTGACCCAATTAAACGTATTTGTTAATTTAGAATTAAGGATAGCGCTCTGAGGTCTGAAACACCTCACCTATTTTCCGGGAGGAGAAACGGTAGCCAAATGGTAGACGCGTGGGAAGAGGGATGGGCCCCAAGCCGAGGCCACTGGGTTGTGTTCTTGGGCAAGACACTTTACTCTGTATTTTCTCTCTACCAAGGTGGAAAACCTGACGTCAGGGACCTTAATCCTGGTGTAATCCAGTCCGCGGGACAGGACAAATATTTTTGGTCGATTCATGCCATGGAAGCCGGAGTATATGTTCTGTGAACATTTTTTGCCGTGAACAGTTTTTGTAACTTGTACTATTTGCAGATTCTTACTTGGATTAATGTACTCTGATGTTCAGCTTTAAATTTAAAGGGTTTTTTTGCTTGTATTGTAGTGATTTGGTTATCGCAAACACAAACGGGTCATGTTTCTCCCAAGACGATTTGTACACTGAGCCGGTCACAGACGACCAAAAAAGGAATCTTCGGGCACATTACATGGGGCTAGTCAAAGGGAATCAAGATTCATTGCACCAGAGTGCGGCGGCTAGGTCTTCGATAAACCCCGTTTATGAAAGGTTTGATTTTCACGAACAAAAGCGTTTTAATAGTTAGATTTATGGGCTACATTATGAAATTATCATTATATTGGTTTGGTGTGGTTTGGCTTCGTTTCCTCGGACTGTCTCTACGGTGTCCTATTGAAATATCACGATATTGTGAGACGTTTTTCTGACATGGGCTTAAATTGAAGGAAAATTTAAAATAACAATTCCTAAAGGTAGGAAAACCTAAAAGGAGTAATAATCAACATATAGGTACAAATGAGGAAAATTAAGACGGATTATGAACAACAACTTCCAGTGTGAAGCCTGGTAAAATTTGCTTTACAATGTGCCATCTGTGATCAAGGTCCTTTAAAAATGGTACACAATATCTTGTACCTACATCCTTTTTCTTGCCAACTACTTGCAGTTATTTTCATACATTTTTTGAGAAATTTGCGTATTTCTTTAGCTCCGACTACAGGAATGCAGAGGCGGAACCGCCTTTATATATGGAATTAGAGAAAGAAACTCCCTTAGGGGAAGACGCTGCTGCCGATGCTGTGTTAAACCCCATATATAACAGGTTCGTTTGCCTCTTTTTAGTGAACTTTGAGCTATTTTATTTTAATCGACTTCTCTCCTCTCTCGGCGGGGACTTACAATTTTTTCTTTGTCCCATACTCTTCACCAAGTGAATAAAATTTACTTATTTGAGTTGGACTAAGTTTAATGTCAATCACCTTTGCATTTATTTATAACTATACTCGACGCTTTCGTGTTTCGTGTTATCAACCTTAGCAGTAGATAAAAATAAATAAATAAATAAACAAATAAATACGGTAATTGACCATTCCGACTTTTTAAGGCTTATGGAAACAAAAAATGAAACAAATAATGTAAATGAAGATAACTTTGTCAAAAATTCCAGCTCTATAATTCTTTATGCAGAACTTAGAAACATCAAGTAATTACTGTTACCATTACTCCCGTCAATATCCTTTTGTTATTTAGTTTCATTCCACATTTCTATAGAGCTATATTCAAATTCTCTCTTGCCTTTAATTGNGGTCAAGAGTTTTTATACAATCTGTGCAAAATTCCCTTTGAACGTTGAAATCATTGTTCCATGAATTGTACCTTTTCCCCTGGGTGTAAAACAACTCTTAACAAAAGTAAGTTTGACCCAATTGATTTTTGACATTATACCACAATATCTCTTTGTCCTCCATTCTTCTATTGTGTAAAAAAGTAGATAACTAATTTTCTTTTTATTGATAAATTGCTTCACTCACTGAATTTTTAGGCAAAGAAATAGAGATCGTTTCCATAACTCTACTCCATATGCTAATGATCTATGGCAGCAGGAAGAATTTACTAAATACATGTATGTCAATTTGACAAAAACGCACGTGGTGTACCCATGTTACTGCGAATTCTAATTGATGGTTCCTTTCAGCCCGTGGTTGTAGAGTTACAAGTCGTAATTTTCAGTGATTAAACTGATTAAATGTCATCTATAATAACTAATACTTTATTCAAATACAGAGTACAAAGAGTATATCTAAACATGACAGTCAACAAAAATCAAGTTTTAGTCTTAAATTCGTATATAACGCCTTTCGTAAGAAAGAGTTGCACAAATTTATAAAAAAAAAATGTAACATAACACGCGAACATGACTATCGTTTATGTTTCTATTTGGAATTTGCAGCAAAATTTGACTAGCTAATCTAAGGTATTTTACGCGCGTTTTTGTCAACTTTGCATATTTAGTCGGTGTTTCCTACTATAGTAGATAATTAGCATACAAAGTAGAGTTATCCGAAAGATCTCTAATAACATGTCGACATCCTGCTACTCTTATTCTATTATTTTGCTGTTAATTTTTTTTTAGGTCAAGCGATCAACGCCCCATCTCAGTTGAAAATCCTTACTACGGCCGGTGAGAATCACGATATAAATAGTCAACTACTTAGTTTACCGTCCTACACAAGCTAACGGTCAACTCTAGCCCACCTCAGTCTTTTGATAGACAGACCGTATAGTGCGTAATTGTATGAAGACATGACTGATCATCGCAGTTATACACACAACTTAAGCAGTTGTGAAATTACATGTAAAGCCCGAACGGGAACGGGAATTGGAACGGGTTCGAACCCGTGACCTGTTCGACACCGGTGCAGTGCTCTACCAACTTAGCTATCAAGGCAACTGGGAGCTGGTCATGATGGTGAAGATACAAGTGAGTACATGAAAGACCATATTTTTGAGCTGCGGAGTTCAAATATATGATCTTTCAAAGATTCACTTGTAGGGTGTAATGCTATTGTACATTTTATCTCGCCATGCATACCTTGTGCAGTAAGTTGTGTATTTTTTTTGTTTTTGTTTTTGTTTTTTGTTTTATCTGTACAGTGATGTCATAATTGCAAACACAAACGAGCTGTACACTGAGCCTGTTACTGGACATGCAAGAAAGAATGAAGCGCAACCTTACAAGGATCTAGTCAAAAAAGATCAAGATTTACTCCACGATACTGCGGCCGATGGTGTTGCGTTGAACTCCGTTTATGACAGGTTCAATTTTTTGAAATAAAACCTATTCAAAAAATAATACATAGTTATATAATAGATTATGATTGCTTTGTCTTTGGCTCTGGTTGTCAATATAATGTTTATAAAAACTGTTACATGTGTAAATTTGTCGTGAATTTTTGTCTTCTCCTGCGCAAGTATGTTCTAATACTGTCACATTAACGTGGTATTTTCTCACTGACTCAATTAAACGTATTTGTTACTTTAGAATTAAGGATAGGGTTCAAGTCTGAAACACCTCTTCTATTTTCCGTGAGGAGAAGCGGAAATGGTAGACGCGTGGAAAGAGGGATGGGGCCCAGGACGGGGCCACTGGGCTGTGTTCTTGGACGAGACATATACTCTCTATTTTCTCCCTACCAAGGTGGAAAACTTGATGTCAGGGAACTTAATCCTGGGATAATCCAGTCCTCGGGACAGGACAAATATTTTGGTCGATTCATGCCATGGGAGCCGGAGTATATGTTCCGTTAGCTCGAGTGAACAGCTTTTGTAACTTGTACTATTTGCAGATTCTTACTTGGATTAATGTACTCTGACGTTCAGCTTTGAATTTAAAGGGTTTTTGTGCTTGTATTGTAGTGCTTTGGTTATCGCAAACACAAACGGGTCGTGTTTCTCCCAAGACGAGTTGTACACTGAACCGGTCACAGACAACCAAAAAAGGAATCTTCGGGCACATTATATGGGGCTAGTGAAAGGGAATCAAGATTCATTGCACCAGAGTGCGGCGGCTGAGTCTTCGATAAACCCCGTTTATGAAAGGTTTGATTTTCATGAACAAAAGCGTTTTAATAGTTAGATTTGTGGGCTACATTATGAAATTATGATTATATTGGTTTGGTGTGGTTTGGCTTCGTTTCCTCGGACTGTCTCTATGGTGTTCTATTCAAATATCACGATATTGTGAGACGTTTTTCTGACATAGGCTTAAATTGAAGGAAAATTTAAAATAACAACTCCTAAAGGTAGGAAAACATAAAAGGAGTAATAATCAACATACAGGTACAACTGAGGAAACTCAAGACGGATTATGAACAACAACTTCCAGTGCAAAACCTGGTAAAATTTGCTTTACAATGTGCTATCTGTGATCAAGGTCCTTTTAAAAATGGTACACAATATCTTGTACTTACATCCTTTTTCTTGCCAACTACTTGCAATTATTTTCATGTGTTTTGAGAAATTGGTCTTTTTCTTTAGCTCCGGCTACAGGAATGCAGAGCCGGAACCGCCTTTATATATGGAATTAGAGAAGGAAACTCCCTTGCAGGAAGATGCTGCTGCCGATGCTGTGTTAAACCCCATATATGACAGGTTCGTTTGCCTCTTTTTAGTGAACTTTGAACTATTTTATTTTAATCGGCACCTCTCCTCTCTCGGTGGGGACTCACAATTTTTTTCTTTGTCCCATACTCTTCACCAAGTGAATACAATTTACTTATTTGAGTTGGACTAAGCTTAAAATCAATCATCTTTGCATTTATTTATAACTATACTCGACGCTTTCGTGTTCCGTGTTATCAATCTTAGCAGTAGATAAAAATAAATAAATAAATAAACAATTAAATAAATACGGTAATTGACCATTCCGACTT